CTGGTGGTCAGTGCGCTCCCACATGGGGAGCACTGCTTAGCCAGAAGCTGGGCTCACGGCTGGCGAGTGCAGCGAGTGCAGAGGCGGTGGCAAAAGCCTCTCCTGCCTCGGCTGCAGTGGGTGGTAAGGAGCGAGGGGTCCCAGACTTTTAAAGCCCCACATTGTGAGAGGGATGTCTGAATGCTGGCTTGGGCCTGTTACCCGGGGGCATCGGGCCTAAGTTGGCAGGTGGATGTCCCCCGAGGGGTGTCAGACTGCAAGAGGGTGTAGGCTGGGCTGAGGGACCCCCCCCCTCAGTGCACAATTTTCATGCACTGGGCCTCTAGTTTATTGTAAAGTGATGGTAATGAAGACAGTGATCAGATAACAAAACTTTTATTATAAAGTGATAGTCATGAAGACAGGGATATATGACAGAGCTGTCATTGCAGATTAATGGGGAAAGGAAAGACTATTCAATAAGTAATGTGGGACAATTTATTATGTATATAAAAATGAAAATGATGCCTTAATTCACACCAGAAACAAAAATAAAGTCCCAAACCTTTATAGGATCCTTGTGTAAAAGTATAGTTTTAGAAAAAAATACACAAGAATATGCTTATGACCTCAGGGGAGGGAAGGATTCCTTAAACAAGTCACAGAAAGTGCAAGTCATAACATCTACACTAATAAAAGACAAACATGCAAATTGACTGTACCTTCACCATGCCTTAAGCCACACCCACCAGCCAATCAGAGCAACTATATGCAAATTAACCCAACCAAGATGGCGGCCACCAGCCACGGAGCTGGAGCAAGCAGGAGGCTTGGTTGCCCCAATGATGGAGGAAGCCAAGCTTCCTGGCTGAGGCCGGCTCTGAGCTCCACTCAACGCAACAAAATTTCAATTATAGAAGATAAATAAACCCCAGATACCTGCTTTCAGCCGGCCGTGGCCAAGGAGCTGGAACGAGCAGGAGGCTTGGTTGCTCCTGGCGATGGAGAAAGCCAAGCTTCCCTCCCACCCGCTCTGGCCAGCTCTGAGCTCCTCTCAAGGTTACAAAGTTTCAATTATAGAAGGTAAATAAATCCCAGAATAAAAAGAAAAGAAAAAAAGGAGAGGCTGGGAGCTTCCGTTGCCGGGAGGCTCAGCCAGCCTGAAAACAGCCCTTAGCCCCTCACCCAGACTGTCCAGGCACCCCAGTGGGGACCCCCCCCACCCTAAAGGGGGTATGGCCAGCATGAAAACAGCCATCAGCCCCTCACCCAGGCTGACCAAACCTCCATGGGGTGAGGGTCCCTACTGGGGGAGAGGGGCTTGACTAGCCTGCAGACAGCCATCAGCCCTTCACCCAGGCTGGCCAGGCACCCCAGTGGGGACCCCCACTCTGAAGGGGGTGTGACCAGCTACAAACAGCCATCAGCCCTTCACCCAGGCTGGCCAGGCACCCTAGTGGGGACCCCCACCCTGAAAGGGGTGTGACCAGCTGCAAACAGCCATCAGCCCCTCACCCAGGCTGGCCAGGCACCCCTGATGGCTGCCAGTACAGTGGTGGTGATGGGAGCCTCTCCTGCCTCTTCAGCAGTGCTAAGGATGTCAGACTGCAGCTTAGGTCTGCTCCCCCCTGGCAAGTGGACACCCCCCGAGGGCTCCCTGGCTGCCAGAGTGATGTCTGACTGCCAGCTTAGGCCCAGTTCCCCAGGTAGCGGGCCTAAACCAGCAGGTGGTCATCCCCCGAGGGGTCCCAGACTGCAGGAGGGCACAGACTGGGCTGAGGACCCCCGCCCCCCAGAGTGCACAAATTTTTGTGCTCTGGGCCTCTAGTAAATAATAAATGGATAAGTTAGAAATAAGAACTGGACATGACAGAGAACACGAACAGGCAAATCACATGCTGGAATAAATATTTGCAGCACACATAACTAACAAAAGATCAATATCTGGAGTATTTAAAAAACTATCTAAAAATAGAGAGTCCAAAAGGTCATAAGTCCATAAGCAGGTGTTTTACAAAGGAGGAAATGAAAATGAGCAATAAATACATTGAAAAGACGCTCCTCCTCTGTTAGTAAGGGAAATGCAATTAAAACCACATCGATATACCATTTCACACCTTTCAGAGTGGAAAAATTAAAAAGTGGGACAATTGTGTTGAGGCAGGGGAATCACTGCTGGTAGTAGCATAAATGGCCCAGAACTTTGGAACACAATTTGACATAAAAGTAAAGTCCATAATGTATGACTCAGCAATTCCTCTCCTAGGCACATACAGGTCTGGGCAAGGTGTAGTATTACTTGAATGAGTAAAACACTGGGACTAACCCAGAGGGCAGCCAGAATGCCCTTCTAAAGAGACACCACATCATGACACTCTCTTATTGTGAACTCTCCAGTGGCTTCCGTGGCAATGAGAATAACACTCTCAACACCTTCAACCTCTGCTTATCTCTCCAATTTCATTGCGTGCCACTCTCCCAGGTTCCTCAAGACATAAGATCTTCCCTCCTCAGGGCACCATACTCCTTCCTGATCATTCCATGGTTGGCTCTTTTTTCATCCTATAAGTTGACCTAAATATCATTTCCCTAAGGACCTGTTACTTGACACCCCATCTAAATTAGTTTTCCCATCCCATTCTCCATCTCAGCCCTGTACTTGTTTCCTATAATAATAGACATGAATATGTGAATCTCATATATGTTGCATGTGTTCCTAATTTTTTTGCGTGTCTTCAACATTAAACTAATAACCTTCATGAGGGCAGAGTCTAGGTCTAGTTGTTCATGATTTGATCCTCTGTGCCTTCCACATAGCCTAGTGCATAACATTCACAGATCTTTGTTGAACTGAATGGTTGAATAAAAATACTGCATAAATTATATATGCAGTTTGTTCATCTGAGAGGACATTTTATTAGCTCTTGTTCATGGAAAGGATAATGGGATACCACAACTGCCACATAAATTCTTAATACTTATTTAGAAGATCAAGGGAAGTGTTTACCTGGTCTGATGTTTGACCTGAAATAATTAACCAACATGCGCCTGAATGCTTTTACAAATTATTTCCAAAGATTTGATGTATCATATATTAAATAGATCTTTTAACTAGACTAAAAGTCCTCCATTGCTTAAATTGGAAATATGTTTAGGTTGGTTTCTAATACATATTAAAAAAACACTTATAGATATTAGCATAGAGGTTTTATGTTGAATATTTAAATATGTTGGTGAAATTGGCCTGGGCTCTTTTTGAAAGAGGCTTGAATTTAGTTAATATAGGTTTTTATTTTATTTTTAATCTATTTGTTTATTTATTCTTATTTAAATCATGTGTTATATTTATTTATGCTTAGTGAAATGTCAGACAAAGACAAATACCATATAATTTCACTTATATATGGAATCTAAAAAACAAAATAAATGAACAAACAAAACAGAGAGAAACTCATAGACACAGAGAACATTTCGATGGTTGCCAGATGGGAGGGGAATTAGGGGGATGAGTGAAAGAGGCGAAGGGTCTAAGAAGTACAAACTGGTAGTTACAAAATAGTCATAGGGGTGTAAAGTATAGCATATGGAATATAGTCATTAATATTGTGATAACTATGTATGGTGACATGTCTACTAGATTTATTGGGGTGATCACTTTGTACGCTATATAAATATCTAATCACTGGGTTATACACTGGAATATAATATTGTATTTCAACTGTAATTTTAAAAGAAAATTATTATGAATGGCAAAATTTATACTTTGTGCAATTAATTAAGTAGTTAATTAATTTATGCATTTTTTAAAATTATATTTTTCTGGTTAGAGATAGAGCTCCAAAAAGAGTTTACATTACAATCTACAAAATATATGGCTTAAGCAGACAAGGTGATTTGGGAAATACTCAAATTTCAGCAAAATATGAAAATAATGCAAGAGTTTTTACATTTTCAATTATAGCAATTATGCTCTTGCTCAAACAACCATAATGCAAGTTACGTAGACTCATTTTAGTGGTGGATGGAAAAACCAAGCCAACTTTAAAATAGACATTAAGCAACATTTTGCATAAATTCAGACTCTTGGTCTCTAAAAATTATTTAACTTGTACTCATAACCTGCATTCAGATACATGGATGCCATGAAATGAGATGGGATTTCTTTGGTTCCTTTTTAATTTTAAACATTATAATTTTGAGCACCTTGTTGTGTAAATGACTTAAAATGATTGGAAATGATTCCTTTCTGGGTATGGTGCTCTGTGAGGGGCAACTCCAGGTGTGGAGGCCGCTCTCTGCCTTCAGCGGAGAAGTCTGCAGGGCAGGTACGTTACCGTTCACATCAAAGTTGGAGGAGAAACTTCCTTGTGATTGGTTCCCTCCTGCACCTGATGTCTACCTTCTATAAGTTGCTAGAGAATTATTATGAGACAAACTGAATAAAGAGCTAATAAATGAATTTTCATTAGAAGTATGTCATTATCAGAGTGGTGTTGCTGTAGACATGAATACGTACAGCTAAAAGGGCTATGTCCTGAATCTGGTCTAAGCTGTTGAAAGTCACCGCACAGCAAATAGTGGAGCCAGAGCATAGGCAGTACTATTTCAAAATTTAATTTAGAAAACCAAAAAGAGGGCAATTATTTTAATGTTCTAATGATTGCTATTTGAACAATAATGCCGGCAATTCTGACACCGAAGTAGGGTATTTGGTTCAGTTCCGGCTTCACTTCCTATGAACCTGAGAGCGAGTCAGGACCCGAGGAACGGCACGGCTGGCCGGTTACCTGGCGCTGAGAAGCCCTAAAGCAGACGCCACAGTTATTTCCCGCAACAGTGGGAGGGTCTGCTTGTTCTGGCGCTCACATCCTTTGCCATGTCCCCCTTCAGTGCCCAGGCCCCGAGGCCAAGGCTGCCTTCCCTTCCCCCTTAGCACACTGCCACGCCAGAGAATGAGGCAAGAGCACTTTCAGAAGCCAGCCGCCGGACAGACAGACAGACGGACAGCCGGCGGTACCCACCTGAGGAACACGGAGCCGGGGCTGTCGGGGGCGCCGTGCGGGGCCTCGCAGGCCTTGTCGGGGCTGCCGGGCACGTCAAACCTGAACTCCGTGTCGCTGGAGGACCGCCTCTTCTTCACCATCCTGCACTTGTCCGTCAGTCCCCAGGCCCAGGCGCGAGCTCAGAGGCTCATTTCTGAATCCCCCGCCCCGACGTGGAAACCCGCGCTGTCCTCTGCTCGGTCCCTGCGGGGCAGGCGGCGCCGCATCTGACTCCTACCCTGGCTGAGGCTTTTTTTTAAAAAGTTCGTTAATGAGTAACAGGCAAGAATGACATGGTCGTTTTCAGCCTCCCCGCAGTTGCTTTAAAGGGAAATAAACGTGCTTGGGAAACTCAGCTCTCAGTTTACTAACCGCAGCACCGCACAGCTCTGGGGATTTCGGCAGAACCGTCCATGGAACCGTAAAGGCTTAGAACAACGAGGTGCAGAGGACGGCAGGGGCCCGACATGAAAAGCAGAGGTTCTTTTTCTAATTCCCTTGGCTTGCCCAACGGGGTGAAGAATGTGGTTGCCCTTATGCCTCTGCACACACAGAAGCAACCAGCCCATCTGCCTGTTGCATTTGGCAAGATGTGCAGGAGGTTTAAGGCTGTGCTGCTTGGTCCTGGGACCTGGAGCGTTGGGAGCTCTTAGGGAAGTAATCTGTATCATGTCAGGGGACCTCGAGTGTTGAGTATTTTGCCGCATTGCTGGAGGCTGTGACCTGTATCAACACAACAACTAAGGCAGACAAGAACTCTGCGAGGCCAGGCTCCAGCACCATGGCTGCGCTTGCTGCTTGGGTAGCCATGGGTGATCCCAGCCCTGCTGAGCTGGCATCTGCCATGCCCACATCACAGGATCAGGAAGAGGATGGAATCATATAGGAGAATGTGTTGTGGAAATTTGCAAATACAGGGGTGGGCAAAAGTGTAATGATAATAATAATAATAATAATAATAATAATAATAAATTATACAAGAATAAACAATGTCCCAGCCTGTATGGCTCAGTGGTTGAGCATCGACCTATGAACCAGGAGATCAGGGTTCAATTCCCGGTCAGGGCACATGCCTGGATTGCGGGTTTGATCCCCAGTTGGGGGCATGCAGGAGGCAGTCGATCAATGATTTTGTCTCATCATTGATGTTTCTTTCTCACCCTCTCTCTTCCTCTCTAAAAAATCAATACAAAATCAATAAAGAATGAACTCTGTGTTTTGTGTACTCACCACTGTACATCTACTTTGCCCACCCTTGTAGTATTGTTGCTGCTATTTAGAACCCGTTTAAGCAGGGAGTTCAGAAAAAGATTTACTTTCTGTGATGTTCTTCAATCACTTAATATTCACTCACAGGGAAAACACCAGCGTCTCTCCACCCAGTTCCTAGCAGCAGTGAAAGATTCGGTCCAAGTAGCTGTGCTCTCTCGTTTCCCTGGCGATTAGTCAATGGCACTGGAGAAGGACTGCCTTAAGCGAGGTACACAGATTCTGATTGTGGAAGGGAGCAAAGTTTTCCTGGAATATCAGACCTTTAGCCTTGCCCTCTTGAGCACTTTGCTCTACCAGCTGATAACTGGGTAGGGACAGGTTTGTGCTGCTCTGTGAGCAGTGGACTCTAACCACACTTTTGAAATTAGACAAAGTGTCTTTCGGTGAGATTTCACTGGTGTCTAATAGAATGACCAACTTTTCCCTGTGTGTCTGGGGTTTTCCTGGTTTTACGCTGAATGCTCTGTATCCGAGGAACCCCGTTAGTGCTGGGGAACATCTGCATCCCAGTGCTGCCTTGCTACAATTCTGATGGTGTCCTGCACCCTGCTTCTCTCCTCATCCTTCCTTGATGGTGCAATATCTGTATTTCTCTCCCCCCCTTACTTCTATGTTGTGGTTATATTGGAAAAACATTAAATAA